AGTACCACTTTTTTTGTTAACATTACCACTTTTTGGGGTGGTTAAGATTACAACATTTTTGTGTGTAACATTATCACTTGTATTTGATAAGAATACCACCTTTTTCTATAAGATTACCCATTATTTGAAGCAAGATTATCACTTTTTTGGGTAATATCATCATTTTTTAGGGAGGATTACCACTTTTGAGGAACATATTACTACAGACACTGTTTTTACCAAAATAAAAAAGTAACTGTTTATAGAAAACAAAACCAAAAATAACTGTTACAAAAAAATAGATTTTCTGTTTTTGTAACGGATTTTCTGTTGCAAATTCTGAGACAAAAACCAGATAAAACTGGTACATTTTCCTGAACCAGCTGAAAATACGCCAAGTAGTAACTCTTCAGCTTCCACCCTCCAAATCCAGCAGGATATTGACAGCTCAGAATCAGCCCACACCACAGCTTTGCAGCATCAGAGGCTCTGCAGAAACAGCTCCAAGACTAGCCCAGCAATCAGCAACACTAGCTCAGTAACTCAGCAGCTCCAAGATACTAAGCCCAATAGCAATAGCTCAACAGCAACAGGATACCAACTCCAGTTCACTGCATACAACACCCCAACAAACACTTATTCAACCTTTATCATCAAATACCATAGAAGTCTTAGTGCACAAAATACGAGGACCTCGTTGATCTTGCAGCCTCTGCCTGACAGCACTGGAAGCTGGCCCCTTATAGAAAATTCAATAAACTGTATAATCCATGGTTCAAAGTAAACTGTATTTTCAGCCTGAAACTGTATAATCAGCTTGAAAATTCAATAAACTGGAAAATCAGCTTCTCTATCAACATGATCCAAAGTAAATTGTAATTTGCTCAACAAAGACTGAATTTGTTCCAAAAGACACAGCAAATGCTAAGCACAACCCATAAAGCCCTCAACAGTCCTGACTAAAAAAAATTACATAATTCCAAACAAAAACATTAATGACAATTTGTTCCTTGTTTCAGTCTCACTGCTAGACACAATGGTGACAACACCAAGCACTAGATATAAATTGTAATGAGAAGATCAACCTCGGCTTNAGTGGATCAGACCAACCACCCCACATGTCTTTTTCACAGCATGGTGGATCACAACAATGTATGCCATCATTGAAAGAGGATGACCGTTGCATTCCCTTTGTCAACGAGGGTATCCTCAACTATAGGTTCATATAATACTCTTTGAATGTTTATATATTTTTTTTTCATATGTACTCATTCCTTGTTATTTTAGAATGGGATATGAAGCTTTGATTCTACCATTCAATCATAATACATCAACACTAGTTTCAATGGAGGTAATTACAAAAATTACAAATTTTATCTCACAAATTTTGTTTTTCCACCATTGTCATCTAACCATCAATTTATGCTATCATAGTGGGCACCAAGATCATGGAGCAAGATGGGTTGAAGAAATTTTAATTTTTTTACAACTTTGAATGAAAAGGTTTGATTTACATTCTCCATTCCAAGTTTTTTTTTTTCGCTTTTTTGAACGAAGAAGAGGGCAGGAAAAACATATTATGAGTTGAGTATTGCTTGTTAAAACATATTTCCCTCTTCGCTTTTTTGTTGCTTTGGTGAGTATTGCTTGTTAATTTTTACTATTATGAGTTATTATAATAGTCTAAGCCATAGCCATGATTTTTCATGCACCAATGCCGAACGAAATATGTTTTATTGTGCATTCCCACAACTTTTTGGTTGTAACATTATCACTTTTATTTAGTAAGATTACCAATTATTTGAGGTAAGATTACCACTTTTGAGGGAAAGATTACCATTGTTTTGGTTAACATTATCATTTTTATTAAGAGTACCATTTTTTTTTGTTAATATTACTATTTTTTTGGTTAAGAGTACCACTTTTTTTTGTTAATATTACCATTTTTCTGGTTAACATTACCACTGATTAAGAGTATCATTTTTTTACTTAACACTACCACTATTTAGGTTAAAAGTACCATTTTTTTTGTTAATATTATCATTTTTTTAGTTAAGAGTACCACTTTTTTTGTTAACATTACCATTAGTTAAAAGTACTATTTTTTTTGTTAACATTACCACTGTTTTGGTTAAGAGTATCACTTTTATTGATAACATTACCATTTTTTTGGTTAAGAGTATAACTTTTTTGATTAACATTACTACTATTTAAGTTAAGATTACAACTTTTTTGGTTTTCATTACCACTATTTTGTGTAACATTACCATTTATTAGGTTAAGTGTATCACTATTTTTTGGTTAAGAGTACCACTTTTTTGGTTAAAAGTACCACTATTTTGGTTAACATTACCATTGATTAGGTTAGCACTACCACTTTTTTGGTTAATATTGTTTTGGTTAGCATTACCATGGATTTTTTGTTGAGAGTACCACTTTTTTGGTTAACATTACCACTGTTTTGGTTAATATTACCACTTTTTTGGTTAACATTACCACTTTTTGGGGTGGTTAAGATTACAACATTTTTGTGTGTAACATTATCACTTGTATTTGATAAGAATCCCACCTTTTTCTATAAGATTACCCATTATTTGAAGCAAGATTATCACTTTTTTGGGTAATATCATCATTTTTTAGGGAGGATTACCACTTTTGAGGAACATATTACTACAGACACTGTTTTTACCAAAATAAAAAAGTAACTGTTTACAGAAAACAAAACCAAAAATAACTGTTACAAAAAAATAGATTTTCTGTTTTTGTAACGGATTTTCTGTTGCAAATTTTGAGACAAAAACCAGATAAAACTGGTACATTTTCCTGAACCAGCTGAAAATACGCCAAGTAATAACTCTTCAGCTTCCACCCTCCAAATCCAGCAGGATATTGACAGCTCAGAATCAGCCCACACCACAGCTTTGCAGCATCAGAGGCTCTGCAGAAACAGCTCCAAGACTAGCCCAGCAATCAGCAACACTAGCTCAGTAACTCAGCAGCTCCAAGATACTAAGCCCAATAGCAATAGCTCAACAGCAACAGGATACCAACTCCAGTTCACTGCATACAACACCCCAACAAACACTTATTCAACCTTTATCATCAAATACCATAGAAGTCTTAGTGCACAAAATACGAGGACCTCGTTGATCTTGCAGCCTCTGCCTGACAGCACTGGAAGCTGGCCCCTTATAGAAAATTCAATAAACTGTATAATCCATGGTTCAAAGTAAACTGTATTTTCAGCCTGAAACTGTATAATCAGCTTGAAAATTCAATAAACTGGAAAATCAGCTTCTCTATCAACATGATCCAAAGTAAATTGTAATTTGCTCAACAAAGACTGAATTTGTTCCAAAAGACACAGCAAATGCTAAGCACAACCCATAAAGCCCTCAACAGTCCTGACTAAAAAAAATTACATAATTCCAAACAAAAACATTAATGACAATTTGTTCCTTGTTTCAGTCTCACTGCTAGACACAATGGTGACAACACCAAGCACTAGATATAAATTGTAATGAGAAGATCAACCTCGGCTTTTAAAATTGAATTCTTTACATGATCCTTTAAAAGACTGGACCGTTCTTTGTCTCTCTCAAGACTCCTCAAATCCACCATAATCCCCAAAACAAAAGGGTTGAAAATAATAACACGGGTATTATATACAACAAAGGAAACAATACGGCACAATCACATTAATTCCTTGTACATTGTAGGATATTTCCTCATCATCACAAAGTGAAAAATAGATAATATTATCACCACCTTTCACTGAATAATAAGAAATGTCTTTAGTGAATAATGCACAAAAACTGAGAGAGAGAGAGAGAGAGATGAAAATCCATATGCATATATTTGTTNCATAGTGGGCACCAAGATCATGGAGCAAGATGGGTTGAAGAAATTTTAATTTTTTTACAACTTTGAATGAAAAGGTTTGATTTACATTCTCCATTCCAAGTTTTTTTTTTTCGCTTTTTTGAACGAAGAAGAGGGCAGGAAAAACATATTATGAGTTGAGTATTGCTTGTTACAACATATTTCCNTTCATCATATTTCACTACTGCTACTTCAACTATTGTATCAACAACCAACAACTACAATTACATATAATTCTCACTGCCTAGCTATTTCTTTGCTTTTTATAAAAAAAGACTCAATTCTATCCCACCTAATATCTATTTTATCCAACATNATATTTCCCTCTTCGCTTTTTTGTTGCTTTGGTGAGTATTGCTTGTTAATTTTTACAATTATGAGTTATTATAATAGTCTAAGCCATAGCCATGATTTTTCATGCACCAATGCCGAACGAAATATGTTTTATTGTGCATTCCCACAACTTTTTGGTTGTAACATTATCACTTTTATTTAGTAAGATTACCAATTATTTGAGGTAAGATTACCACTTTTGAGGGAAAGATTACCATTGTTTTGGTTAACATTATCATTTTTATTAAGAGTACCATTTTTTTTTGTTAATATTACTATTTTTTTGGTTAAGAGTACCACTTTTTTTTGTTAATATTACCATTTTTCTGGTTAACATTACCACTGATTAAGAGTATCATTTTTTTACTTAACACTACCACTATTTAGGTTAAAAGTACCATTTTTTTTGTTAATATTATCATTTTTTTAGTTAAGAGTACCACTTTTTTTGTTAACATTACCATTAGTTAAAAGTACTATTTTTTTTGTTAACATTACCACTGTTTTGGTTAAGAGTATCACTTTTATTGATAACATTACCATTTTTTTGGTTAAGAGTATAACTTTTTTGATTAACATTACTACTATTTAAGTTAAGATTACAACTTTTTTGGTTTTCATTACCACTATTTTGTGTAACATTACCATTTATTAGGTTAAGTGTATCACTATTTTTTGGTTAAGAGTACCACTTTTTTGGTTAAAAGTACCACTATTTTGGTTAACATTACCATTGATTAGGTTAGCACTACCACTTTTTTGGTTAATATTGTTTTGGTTAGCATTACCATGGATTTTTTGTTGAGAGTACCACTTTTTT